ACCAAAAATCCCCAACCAAGCTGTGTTGGCTGGGGAATTCTGGGAGCTGAAGTCCATACATCTTAAAGGCTCTGAGATTAAGAAACACTGGTCCAAAGACTACGCTGATCCTTAGCCCAGAAAAGTTGCATATTCTTACAGTAGTTTACTGCGCCAAGGCCATTAGGGCTGAATGGGTCTTAAGATTCCTGCACATTTTTCAGAACTATTAAACCTTTCTGAGAGGTAGCTGTGAAAGACTGTGGAAAGGAAGTGGGGAAGGAGTACAGTTTATGGGAGAAGAGGCAACGCAACCCTGATGTGGCAGTTGTGGAAGTGAAACATTTTAGGGAGACTCTGCCTTAATTGACTTCCTGTAAAGGAATTTACTCTGACAACTTTCAAGATTATGTTTTTATCCTCAGTTGGCCTTTCTGAAAGCTATTTGGTTCTTGAGTTTGCCAGCTATGTGGGACTTTACAACAGCTCTGTCAGAATCATTCTCTCCCCGACATGGGGCTCCACAGTGGTGGGGTGGGGGACATGATGTTATTCTGATACTATAGTAGCTTTCTATGCACAACCAGCACCATTTTTAACATGAAGCCAGCTTACTGGAACTGTGCAGATACTACTTCTTTGCTACATCTTTCCCCTTTGTATAATTTATTTTAAAACAAATGTGCCTCCAATGTCAATCAACAAAATGATCAGGGATGAGGAAGCGCATCCTATCAGGAAAGCCTGAAGGAACAGGCTATGTTTAACAGGGCTTGAAATTCTACCTGCAGCGCCCAGGATCCTGCTGTTTTTATTTGATTAGTGCATTAACCCTACACCATAATCCCTCACCCCCTCCACAGTTTTAATTAAAAACCTGTTCCAAGGCAGAAGGGATTCAACACATTACAAGCGGCAGCTGATCCAAGCAGTGCTCAGCTGCAAGGCAAGAGAAGACACCACTGACCTTTTCCATGACTGCAGCCTGCACCATGGTCCCCGTGCTTAATTTTTTTTTTTTTTACCTGTTCAATCACGTCCGATTCTCAGAGACTGCCTGGAAGAGTCCCTGAAGTTTTCTTGGCGAGGTTTTTCAGAAGTGGCTGGCCCTGGCCTCCTTCCCAGGGCTGAGAGAAAGTGACTGGCCCAAGGTCACCCAGCTGGCTTTGTGCCTAGGCTGGACTTGAACTCACAGTCTCTAGCCTGATGCCTTAACCACTGTACCAGTCTGGGTGCAATTACCCAGTTCTACTACTAAACAATTTCCTCTCATTTCTGCACTTATTTATTTAATTCAGGCACCACCCAACTCCAAAGCCACTCTTTGGCATTTAACATTCAATAAGGTTGTGCTACAGTAAGATCTGATGCCCTGCTCCTTCCTTCCTTCCTTCCTTCCTTCCTTCCATCCATCCATCCATCCATCCATCCATCCATCCTTTCTTTCTTTCTTTCTTTCTTTCTTTCTTTCTTTCTTTCTTTCTTTCTTTCTTTCTTTCTTTC